TTCCTGCTGCTGAGTACACGAGCTGTGACACCAGCATGGTGCAGTGTCCTCCTGAGCTACATTCTTATCCAGAAGCGATTAAGTCTAAAACCACCCTGGCTGAATGACAGGTAATTTAGGAGCGCTATAGGGGGGACCTTTCTATGTGTCTATGCTGAATTCAGTTGCTGGAGTTCCTTTTGCCTGGCAGCTTTCCAAGAATAAACCACAATTTCAGTTATTCAGCCTATGTTGTTTTTACAAGAGTATCTCAATACAGAAGTATTTAAAAATAAAAAGATACTGTATCTCTCCACACAGTCCCCAGTCTTAAGACAGACTATGGGCTTTCTTACTCTCTGAGGAGCTGTAGATTGCCTGGAAAGAGATTTTTGCTGGTTTTCAGAGGTGTTAAAATGCAGATCAGACTATTTGAGGACAGCAAGGAGATTCAGCTCAGGTTTAAAGTGACTGATCAGCCTGATGCTGTTCTCTCTGTCAGTCAGAGAAATAAAAAACATACTATATTTTCACACTCCCATGAAATTCATCCTGGCGATAACCAGGATATCAAAGATATTTGCTTCCATAGAATCAGAAAATATTATTGTAAAACACCCTTGGTTTTCAAATATTTGTAAAGTCCCATGTGCTACTGGGTAAAGCCCTTTAGCCCTTGCAAAACCCTTTCTTCAGTGATTGAAATTAGAGAAATAATGGTACACAACAACTCTGCTTAGAAGAAGAGCAGTACTTTTAATTAAATAACACAATCCTATGTGTAATTCTCTTGATGACTTTTACTCCTGTTAGGTCTAACATACGAAGAGACATTAAATACTCTGAATTCACCAGAAAGCAAACTTCGGACCAGGCAACCCGGGTCACCTGGAACAGCTTGTGCTTAAATGATGTGGCCACTAGATGTCATTCCTTTTTCACTCAAAGGCAGGTTAAAGGAGCATTTACCTGTCAGAATAAGGTCACCCCCCAAACATTAGCACGCTGGGGCACGTGTATTGCTGTGCTGAAAAGTCCCATAGCCCAAGAGATACAAAACTCTGCAAAACCAGCCACTATAACGTCTTCCAGAGAACAATCCCATGCTGGCAAGAAAACAGACCACACGTCCGTGACTTGCATCAGATTTCTACGGTTCTTCACCACTGTGCATATCATATTAAAGGAGATTTTAATGACAACTTTACCATACAAAGCTCAGTGTATTCACTATGACAGACACTAAGCACACGCACTGCTGTTAAACCCACCCTACACTTGCTGGAGCTGTGACACAGACTGACGACCAGGTCTGAAAACAAGTTGGTGCCCATTTTTCTCTGATTCAGGAGGAATTTAGTTCCTTCCTTCTTCTGAGAATCTAGGTCGAAGCCACTTCATCAGAAAATGCTGGCACAGCTCGAGAGCCGAGCACATCACACCCAAGAGTCCAAGTCCCAGTGGTGCTGGGAGGGAAGGACCCAGTGTCTGCAGCTGCCATGGAGCCCATCTGGGTCCACGGTGGCATAAACAGGGCTCTGCAAGACTTCCCTGAGTTCTGCTACATATTTGCAGTTTCTAAGGGTATAACTAAGGGGAAACTTTGGTCCTACATCAAGAAATATTTGCAGACTCTTTAAGATAGAATGAAAATTCAGAATAATATAAATAATAAAAGCATTCCTCAAAGGAGTGCACATTTCAGATGCTCTGCATCTCCAGCTTATGAAGGCTGGGAAGACCACAGCATTTCACCTTCCCTTTTCATTTTTACCTTAATCAGCTCTAATAACTTGTCATTTGCAGACTCTATTATTTTTCCCCTTTCCCCCCAGTGATAGTGACTTGGAGCACAGAATGACAACAGGATAAAGAAATGCTGCACTAATATAAGAAAGATCTTTAACTGATTCAAACCAGATATTCTGAAGAAGGCGACAGGTTCCCTGCTGGTACACACAGACACATCTGGTAGAGCGATCAGTGAAATACAAATTTTACCAGATACCTGTTACCATTTAGAGTATTTATTGCTTCCTTGAAATTGTATCTGAGCTACTAAACCCAAAATCTCTCTTTCTGCTCAGGATTTCTCTCATAAGTAGTGCCAACTCTGTTATGTCTACAGCCAATTGCTATGAAACAACTGTATCCTCTTTGGTGCAATCAGACCTCGGCTGTTTGCCACGTTGTTTCAACTCCTTTAGTGAAACTGGTGGGCAAACACTTTCACTAGTTCATGAATCATTCTCCCCTTCCTTTTCCCCTCCTTTTTTTCCCCTGAAAGTCTTTGTTCCATGGTTATCTATCAAGTTCCTCCTATCTGCCAAACCAGCAAAGAGAAACGAGGGATATAAACATCCATGAATTACAACCACGTTGTGTGTCCATGCATCATTGTGCTGATGTATTGATACTTACAGTGCTGGTAGTGAATTCGGGGGGGTTGTCATTCACATCAGTCACCGTAATGATCGCGGTTGCCGTGTTTGAGAGACCATAGTTAAGATTTCCTTCCATATCTGTGGCTTGAACAATGACTATATACTGCTGAACTTTCTGGAAAGCAAAAAAAAAAAAAAGAAAGGAAAAGATGAGAAACATAAATGCATCCTGTAAAACGCCCTGGTTTATTTTCTGTATGCAAGTGCAATCTTCAAGCAGACAAACAAGTTAAGCTGATTCAAGATGTTAGTAAAAAAATCCCCCCAAACCAGATATATTTTTCTAGCCTGTTTTTGAAGGGATTTTTGCAAAGGTTGGTCTGTATCACCTGTTTTATAGGAAAGTAAAAATACTATGGGCAAAAATTCTTGGTTGGAATAGGCATTTTTCTTAATTTTCAAGGATTTTTGGCAACATTGATTTCTGTCTTCTGAAAATCAGTAAAAATTTTGCTAACATGTTTTCACCCAAAACATCACTAAGAACATTATACCCCCAAATTGACAGGAACATTGCCTGGCAACCCTCCAGCTCACTCTGCTCACAAAATGCATCCTGTAAAACGCCCTGGTTTATTTTCTGTATGCAAGTGCAATCTTCAAGCAGACAAACAAGTTAAGCTGATTCAAGATGTTAGTAAAAAAATCCCCCCAAACCAGATATATTTTTCTAGCCTGTTTTTGAAGGGATTTTTGCAAAGGTTGGTCTGTATCACCTGTTTTATAGGAAAGTAAAAATACTATGGGCAAAAATTCTTGGTTGGAATAGGCATTTTTCTTAATTTTCAAGGATTTTTGGCAACATTGATTTCTGTCTTCTGAAAATCAGTAAAAATTTTGCTAACATGTTTTCACCCAAAACATCACTAAGAACATTATACCCCCAAATTGACAGGAACATTGCCTGGCAACCCTCCAGCTCACTCTGCTCACAAAATTTGATACCCACAAAGCATTTTGATACTTAAAATACTCTCCATGTTTCATTCCTTCACACAATCTTGGTAAATAAGGAGAACTTGCAAATAAGTCTAGTTCAGGAAAAAATAAATCTTTAAAGCAATAAATATTGGTATGAGGGAAGTGATTTAAATCACTGAGCACCCCAAACAGTGTGGCTCCCAAAGAACAATCTTTTCACAGCAAACCATAAACCTCCCCCACATTAAAGTTCTCCTACAGCATGCCATACATCAGTGCAACTGGAAAATAAATCTGAACAAAATAGGAGAGGGTTTCTGTTTGTCCATCTCCCTGGGATGTCTCTACTCAGGAGTATCTGCTCACACTGAGAAAAGCCTCCTTTAAAACTCGCCTCGACAATAAACCTTCATATGTATCTGCAGAATTTACTATTGATGTCTACATGTGTTGTGCATAGGGTACCCAGAGCATGTTCCAGGCAGATATCAAAACAAAACTCCTCTTTTGAAATATGGGCAAAGAGACATGCCAAGAACCAGGAAGGGATGCAGCCAGAATCAGTGGGACTCAGGACAAGGCTCAACATTACAACCTATTCCTTAAGGTTTAATTACAGGTACAAGCTGGGACACAAGGACTAAGCAGCTCTGATAGTGCCCCAGAGAGTCCAAGGGGTGTGAAAACCAAATGGAGGCACAACGTTATGTAGGAAAAGCTTTGTGTAAAGCCAAGTGGAGGGACCTCATGGTGAGGAGAGAGCTGCTGCATGCTGGATTTCTTCTGCTCTAGGAACACAGCTTTGGTACTTCAGGGCTGCTCTGCTTGGGTGTCGATGTTACAAGCATGAGTAAAATTACAAACGTCTTTTGAAATTTCAAAGGGCAAGAGTTAGGTCAGTTAGGTCTCTCTAATCCTATATAAATACTCTTGAAGTGCTGTGTAACTGGCTTAGTTCGTTAGTTCTGATTTGCTAGAATAACTGAATCTGAATTTCAGCTTTATCTTGATTCCAGGACTTCTAAGCAACAGGATATCACACACAGGGATCCATCAGCATCTTGCAACTGCAATACATTATGGAAATGCACTTTCATTATCTCTTTCTACCTTGTATAATAAAACATAAGGGAGAAACTATTGTTAGTCCTCATTTTTCCTCATGCAAAAAGTTGCCATTTATTACTCCATTTGCAAAGCACTGGGCAATTGTAAGGCTGAAATGTCCTTATTAGTGAAAGTAATTTCTATTTCATATTTAGCTTTTCCTTCCTTCTTCTCCATTACAGACCATTTGGGAGACTGGCAGAAGTATTCCCAAGCAGGCCAAACAGTTGTGAGCCAAATTAGGTTTAAAACATAAAAGGGCAAGAAGATATTTAAAAGACAGTGGCAATCAGATCAGAAAATAAATTAGTGAAGCAAGTGGAAGCCCCACATGAGAGACTCCATTTCAATAGTGCATTTACATGGCAAAGCCACCTCTGCTGTTCCTCACTGCAGAGAGATGGAGCCCTGGAACTCACAGCATTTGTGTAGCTGTAGTGGTTATGGTGTAGCTGTAGTGATTATGGTGTAGCTGTAGTGGTTACGGTGTAGCTGTCACACATCACTGCAAAAGCTTCAGTGCTTCGGCAGTGACCGCAGGGAAAAAAAAAAAAAGTTCCTTTCTTTCCTGTCAGCTGAGAGGGTGACAAACCAGCCTCCATTGGTGAGAGTGTTTCTTCCCTCACGTGGTGGTTTTCACTTTCCCTGTGTTTGCAGACTGGCCTGGCAGCTCCATGCCCACCCCAGTGAGCCAGGACCATGGTGACACTGTGCCTGCCACCAGGGCATGGCCAAGGCAGCTCTGCCCCCATCCCACAGCAGTGCAGGAACTCAGGACACTGTCATGAAAACTTCAGTCTGGTGTCTGAGATGAAACTTCAGACCTGTGGTAAGGTCACACTCAGCCTGCACTGCACTTATTCATAGCAGAGCCAGCCTGCAAACCTCCCACCGCCTCCAGCTCCTTTCTAGCTTCCTTTATTCCCTTCTTAAGTAAAGCTTCCCTTGGAAAAATGAATCCTCTGGTAAGAGAGGGGGTAAGGGACAAGAAACTCTCATTTTAGAGCTTTGTTAACTTCACAATTTTGGTGCCTATTAAATTATACATACCCTGATGACATATGCCTGCATGTGTGTCTAATCACAGACCCTGTCTTATTAATCTCAGATTTATAATAGAGTTTTTTTATTTAACAAAGTGTCTTTCAGACCATCATAGCACAGTATTAATAAAAAAACCCACACAAATTCAGAACACTAAATTAAAGACATTTACAAGAAAGATTAGATCAATCAGATAACACAAAGTAAAAAATGAAAATGCCCAGAATTTAGTGATGCACAAAGAGCTGGTGCATAAGGATGGGAAGAGGGGAAGGGAAGCAAAGGAGGGCTGCACATGTGAGAAGGCACAGGGAGCCCAAGCCTAGTCAGGAAATGTGAGGAGTTTCAGCAGACCTCAGATGGATGGAACGATCAGGTAGGATGGTTATGGGAATGGACACGTTTCAGATGGCAGTTGCCATCAGGAACAGACAAGATGTGAGCTGCTGGTGGGAACTTCAGAGCCAGCACCACAGCTGCACGTTTCCATCAGCTGAAGACCAAACCATTGCATTTAGAGCCAAAGTGGAAACTGACATGGAGAACAGCCTTGGCTGGTCATATAAACCACAAAAACATGTAAATGAAAGAAGTCTGAGATCTGTCCAAGCTTTAGGCTCTCGGTTACCATCCACATTCAGTTCCATCTAAAAGGCCCCAGTGTGGGCATACAAGGATAGTGCTTTTAAGTACCTCGTTTTAGTTTATAACTAATTCAATCTTCAATAAGATTTGCCCCAGCAGATAACAAATTACTGTCTTTTTTTTTTTTTTTTTTCCCCTGTAGCTAACCTTTTTGCTTTTGTGCATTAAGCTGATTTTATTGAACTATTCAATCAATTTTAATTTCAACATGTCCTTCCAATTTGTCACAACATCTCCAGGGGCATCTTAGTTTGTTGTCCTAATATTATTATTATTGTTAAAACTATTTAAAAAAAAAAAAAAAAAAAAAAAAAAAGAGGCCACCCAATACCCCTCCAGCACAAGAGACATTTTCTTGATGTCATTTTGATCATACAGAATAATTTCATTATTCTCTTTCTTTATAAAAATGACATTTTAAACTGCATAGGACAGAAACTACAGCAGAGAGGTGACACAAAATGGCCCTAGCTCAGAGACATGAACCAGTTACTGTTTGTGTGCTCTGATGGTGATGAGCCTCTACCTCAAGGGTGTCTAAACTAAAAACTCAGCCCCAGTCAAGTCCCTGGGGATCCACTGACCAGTATTTTTAGTAAATCAAACCTTCACACTAGGGTAAAGTAAATATGCTGCTTCTACTAAAACCAAGGAAAACAATCTCAGCTTGATAAGTGCAGAGCTTTTAGTCTGACCTAAAAAATGAAGAAGGGCTTTTGAAGGAAAAAATGATGAAGGAAAGCATAATTAAAGGAACTGTGGCAGATCTAATCTGCCTGCTCTTCTGTCAATCATCTGCTACGATGCCACAAACAAATGCAGCTGTTAAGTTCCAGAAGATGGGAATTAGCTGAAGAAACTGGTTACATTGTTTAATGGGAAGTTGATCAAGGGCTTGGCTAAAACAGAGAATCATAGAATCATAGAATCTTAGGGGTTGGAAGGGACCTTGAAAGATCATCTAGTCCAACCCCCCTGCCAGAGCAGGGTCACCTAGAGCACATCACACAGGAACGCATCCAGGTGGGTTTTGAATGTCTCCAGTGAAGGAGACTCCACAACCTCCCTGGGCAGTCTGTTCCAGTGCTCTGTCACTCTCACAGTAAAAATTTTTTTTCGGATATTCACCTTGAACCTCCTATGCTCCAATTTACACCCATTACCCCTTGTCCTATCACTGGTCATCACTGAGAAAAGCCTAACTCCATCTCCCTGACACTCACCCCTTACATATTTGTAAACATTGATGAGGTCACCCCTCAGTCTCCTTTTCTCCAAGCTAAAGAGACCCAGCTCCCTCAGCCTTTCCTCATAAGGGAGATGTTCCACTCCCCTAATCATCTTCGTAGCTCTGCGCTGGACTCTTTCAAGCAGTTCCCTGTCCTTCTTGAACTGAGG